GATGGGTAGATGGTGTCAAAGAAACAAGGACTACTGAGAGTCCTACGCTCTCTTATAATTCTGGCTTTTTAAGTCTATAGGTGGACTCAAGGGAAGTCATTATATTTTCCCATTTCTTTCATCATCTGAAATGTCACCTACAGTGTGATTAGACTCATAGACTCTGGAGCCAGACTTCCTTATTACAAATCTTGTTTTTTGTATCTACTTCATTTAACCATTAGGATCTAACCATTCGTATTAAATGAGCTAACGCAAGGAAAAATGTATAGAACATAGAAAGTGAGTGAGTGAGTAAGTGAGATGACTCCCATGTCAGGTTGCCATTTGGTAGAGGTCAAGAAAGTGTAAGACCGTCATCTCAACTATCACCAGCAAGCCTCAAAGAGTGTCAGTGTCCTCAAGCTAAGACAGCTCTTCTGTAGGATTCCTCATCTCCATCATTAGGAGCCAAGCGTGAGGCCCTTAGTAGTTCTTGCTTCCTGTCCCTAAACACTCATGACCTTTCAGTCACTTTGCACTTTTGGTGCATCAGAAGTGAAGTCATGATATCCCTCATCTCTGTTCATATTCTTTCATACTCTGGACTCTAATTCTAGGGTTCCAGGCATTGCCTTTTCTATTCTAATCTCCCACAGGCCCAGCTCTGAAACCCTAGAATTCTGGGTGAATTAGATCCTTTTTATCTTCAGTCTTACTTGTGAACTTTCTGTTTTCCTTTTGCTGAAACCAAAACATGGCTAGAAACAAAACAAAAACCAAATACCAAACCAAATAAACAAAAACCATGACTCTACCATGATAATAATGCATCTCTGAAGCCTTTGCAAGGGTGAATGCTTTCTTTCCCAAGTCCCTCATACTATGGGGCCTGGAATTTTCAGGCCATCCTCTCGTTCTCCTTCACCCTTCCTTGGCTTTCCTTCTGATGTCCTATCCCCTACTGCAAACTCTCCATAATCTCAATTGTGCATGTTCTTGTATCCTGCACCTTTGTGGAACTGTTTATTAGTTCTAATAGTTTTGATAGAATTGATGGATTCTAATAGTTTTTGATGCAAAACCATGTCATCCGTGAACAGAGATGGTTTTATTCTTCCTTTTACATTTTATTTCTTTTCCTTGTCTAATTGCTGTGGCTAAAAGCTCCAGTGCAATGTGAGTACTAGTGGGGAGAGAGGCATCCTTCTTTTGCTCCTGATCTTGGGAGGCAAAATTCAATATTTCATAATAAAGCATTATGTGAACTGTGGATTTTTCATAGATGCTTTTTATTTGGATGAACAAATTCCTTTTTACTTGTAATATTTTTTCTGTTTCTCCCACAAAGAATTGTTAAATGTTTTCAAATGCTTTGTCTGCATCTACTGAGATGATTGTGTGGTTTTCTCTTTTACTGTATTAATATGTGCATTACATTTATTGATTTCTTTTTTAGAGAGGGAGAGAGAGCACATATGCACCTGTGAGCAGTGGGGTGGGGGGCAGAGGGAGAGAGAGAGAGAATCTTGAGCAGGCTCCACACCCAGTGCAGAGCCTGACTCGGTGCTGGATCTCAAGACCCTAAGATCATGACCTGAGGCAAAATCAAGAGTCGGACACTTAACTGACTGAGCCACTCAGACCAGTCACTCACATTTATTAATTTTTGGATGTTAAGCCAACCTTGAATTTTTAGAATAAATTCCACTTGATTCAGTCCTTTTTATGAATTGTTGAATTTGGTTTGCTAGTGTTTTTTGAACACTTTTTTTCATATAAATTACTAAGTGATATTGTTCTGTAGTTTTCTTGTGATGTTTTTGTCTGGAATTGCTATCAGGGTAATACTGGGCTCCAAATGAATTGGGAAATATCTCCTGCATGTCTACTTTTTGGATATCATCCAAAAGAATGTGGTAATCTAATGTTGAAATTGTGAACCACCTCCAAGTAGTAGTTCACTGTGTCCAACAGAGACAGATATAGTATTTGGAATTACATCACCATTCTGTGTGGAAACTTGGCTAAGATATTTAACATTATTGAGCTTCACTTTCCTCACCTGCAACATAGGATTATTAAATCTACACATAGAATTTTATAGAGATTGATTAGTAGAATCCCTGGCATAATAAATACTTGATATATGGTCACTATTATTTAAGAAACATTTGTGCCTACTAATCAATAGTAAGAGTTACTGACCAGGTAAAGATTTTATTTGCACTCAGACTTGATGACTAAGTACTATTATAGTGGTTGTATTTGAAATAAAAATGTTCAATAAGTAGAAATATTTCAGAAGGTATTAGAAACCAAATTTTCAAGGGGAACTGTTAGGTTTAGACTTAGTTTAAGTTTTGGTTTTCATTAGAAAAGTAACTTGACCTCCCTTCTCTCATCTTGAAAATGGTGCAGGAAGTACCATGATGGGTATAGCATTGGGAGTGACTTTCACTTTTCTCTAAAAGTAAAAGGCAGTCAAAGAGTGTGAGTTTCCTTTCTTCCCATCTTTCAGAGGTTGTTTTCCCACCGACGCTGAATTTTACCAGGTTTGGCGTTCCTTAGGGATGTTCTTTAGAGATTCCTTAAGAGCATATTTTCTTATAATCCCTAATTATTATTAAATAAATCCCTATTTATTTATTTTAAAGATTTTATTTATTTATTCATGGGAGACACACACACACACACACACACACAGAGAGAGAGAGAGAGAGAGAGAGGCAGAGACACAGGCAGAGGGAGAAGCAGGCTCCATGCAGGGAGCCGGACATGGGACTTGATCCTGGGTCTCCAGGATCACGCCCTGGGCTGAAGGCGGTGCTAAACCACTGAGCTACTGGGGCTGCCCCCTAATCCCTAATTATTGATACTCTTCCTATCAAGTTTACAGAAGAAAGCACTGAATTTTATTCTTTAGCCAGAATGTGGGATGATGGAATAATATTGTCACAGAATTCTTGGAAAGTAGGCTGGCTTTGCTGTCTATTGGTATTTTCTGGTTTAGAATATAGCACAGGGACTCTGTCTAGATTGTCTGCCATATGGCATTTACCAGTTTTTAATTAGCCTTTGATGGTATTTTCAAAAGTTTTATTGACTTGACTATGACAGATATAAGATGATAAAAATGAAAAAAGTAAAAGTCTCAGTTTTTTTTTAAAATAACTACTATGAACAGGTTTATTTGTCTTAATTCAGTTGATTTTTTTTCCCTTAAACTGGATTTATTTTTTTTAGATGGGATATGATTCTCTAGATGCTCCAAATGCGTAGCTCTGGTTCTTAGAAAGCAGGTTCCTTAATTTTTTCAATCTGAATTTCCAAGTTAGTCCCTCTTGCCTGACCTAAATCTTCCTTATTCTGATTAAAAATTGTAAAGCCCATGTTCCATTTTTGGTCTTAAAAGTAGCTCCTAAGCCTTCTTGGCATAATATTAGCAATGATTATATAGTGAAATGATGTTGGCAGGATGTTACTTTAGTTAGATCTGCCTCTCCCCTATCTTAACAAACACTGTGGTGATCTTCACAGAGCACAGTGCTCACAATGGGATCCTGCAAAAGAAGGAAAGTTGGGCACACCAAATTGCAAGGCTTGCTTCATGGAAAATGAATGGGAAGAAGGCAGGGAGTGACTGGCAAATGTAGGAAGGGGCAGCTTTAGGAATTCTCTTAAATTGGAAGACTTTATTAAGCACAAAACTTAGTAATTATTCAGTGATTTATTCTCTGCATTTTTAAAAGAAATGGATAAATGGCCTTCTTTGTGGAATTATGTCATATGTCATGTCTAGGGACAAAAACTAACAGGCTGGTGTTTATGTATGGTCACCCATTCCATGTGATTCTGGCATTTTCTTTTCTTTGGTGAAATTTCTAGTTCTAGCGAAGAACTAGCCACAATGGAATAATGATTACATTAACTATGGAAGGAAAAAAGACGGAAAAGAATAGTACCCAGTCTTAATAGTAGTTGAGCTTAGATGGGCTCTGTATGATTCTACTTTATAATTTCTACTTTTCTGTAATTTTAAATTTTCTTTGAGAAGTGTGTTTCAATGAGTATTTATAATTTTAAAAACGAGTTTGCATTTTATCTGAATAAAGAAATAAAATGGGTGCATCAAGTACCCTAGTCAGTCTGTTCCTTCAAGCTATTTTTACTTAGTCAAACACAGTGATGATTATCTTAAATACCGTGATATATGTAATATTCTTACATAACATAAAATGCATACCAGGATTAAGATAGAGAATATAATTATTTGTCAATCTCCATTTTTCAACATGTAGCAATAAGAGAATAATTTTAAAAATAAGAGTATTTAAAATGTATTAATATCTGAATGTTAATTTTAATATTTTCTCTTTTTCTTTCACTTGGGTCAGCTGATTGCACAGTGCTTAAATATAATCAAATATGAGACAACATAGTATAACCTCCTGACATGGTCTTATACTCTGATTTTAAGTAGAAATTATATGTGTAAGTTATTTCAAAAATTTGTCATTACTCTGTGTAATTGCTTTGATGTTATGTAAGCTTTTAATAGATAGCTCTAATCAAATAACATCACAGAGATTAAGTTGTCAGTCGATTAGAGAGAGAGGCTTTCTTATTGTAAAATCAGAAATAACCAGTAATTGCCTATATTAAATGGAAATGTTGAAGGTCATAAAGCTTGAGAATCTTGTAACAATAATATGTGTATATATATATATACATATACATACACTTAGGTATATATACACATACATGTACATACACTAATTACTAGGATTACTCTTAGATGATAGTCCCTGGTTTGTGAAAAAGTTTGGTCTGACATTTAGTAATTTAGCCTTTTTTGCATGGTACCGCCTTGCCTCAGCAAAGCCACATACCAATCAGGTGTAGAGAACTTTGGCTTTTAAATGTTAAAAAATATTTGGAGAAGTTGGGCACCTAAAATACACTTTCATAATAGGAACAAGAAAGTTTAATAAATCTACATTCGTTGTCTATTAGATTGCTAAATATATATAAAGAGTTTTTAGTTATGGTCTGCCTGTATCACAGAGAAACTATGATTATCTAAATCTCATTTTTTTTTAGAAGGAATTGCTTGCTCCCCTCTGTGCTTTCTGTAAAATATTGCAAAATCGTGTGCATCTGCAAGTTAAAACCATGTAATACAGCAGGCTAAAACTGAACAGAATTTGATTGCAGACCTCATTTTTTCTTGACTCTGTCAATAGAAATATAATTTGCTAGAATGTACTTAGGATTTTTTGAACAGTCCATGAAAGGTGACGGGGATGTTAATCTCCACTTCAGCCCTGGCAACTTCACTCAAATCCTTGGCATTCAGAATCAGAAGATAAGCAGGCTTTTGTCCTGCCCCAGGGCTCACCACCACACTCAGAACTACACCTGTTAATCAAAAGTAAAGCAATGTTAAATTAAATTTAAAAAATCCCAGAACCATAGATTAATCATATAGGAGATATTGCATTGACAAATGAAGAAAACCGTATGACTTAATATCTTGTTCTGGATTTTCCACCATCTGGCCGTGTGACCACCTGAGGGGGTCTTTCAAACTCTTTATATTCCCTAGACTATAAACTCCAGGAAGGGAGTGACCATATCTGACTTATCCACTGTTGTATCCCAATAACCTACTATAATCACTAGGACATAGTAGGTGTTCATTAAATTCTTATTGACGGGCGGGTCTGTGCTCTTATCTGTAACATAAGATTTAACATAGCTTACTGCCAAAAAAAAAATATTGTGACACTCAAATGGAAAATATATATTAAAAGACCTTGAAAGCAGTAAGGTAGATGAGTTCTGTCCTCTCCAGGACCTAGCTAGAAGCCTACTTCCTTCCAACAAAATGGGAGCAAACCTTTGCAGTCTTGTCTGGATGGGCTGTCTGTGTAAACTCATGTAGCATGAAATGGCTCCATAATGCTTTATTTTACTCACTCCTCGGTGGTGTTCCATATTTTAATCCCAGAGGATATAATCGACCTTCGTGCCCCAGCTACTCAATACTCAACAAAGACCGATGCTTTGTAATTGAGCTGCTGTGGTACAGGCGGGAGGTCCAGCTTGCTGAAAGAAGCAGCCCAAGGCCGGGTCACCCAGCCTCATTCTCATTCTCTTTGATCTGTTGCAAGACCCCATTTCTCCCCTGAGAACTCTGTTCTTCTCCAGAAATTTACCTAGGTCAGAAAAGGCAAAACCCTACAGCTCATGCTGTTCTTTCTTCATCCATCCCTCCTTCTAGAGCAACACGGATGTTGTCCATTAGGACACCAGATGGTGCTTTAACATTTTTCCATGAGTAGTCAGTGAGATTGGCCATAAGAGGACACTTCTTTTCAAATAAGTTTAAGCTCTTCCGTGCTGCGTTACATTAAGGCTCATATCAGAACAGCAGGGGCTTATCGCTGTGACTCCTCCTCTAATACACTAACATAGAGAGCTCCAAGGAAAAGAAAGGGTTCAGACACGTCCACTGCTCTCATTACCGTCATCTTCTTCCAAGGCATCTGGGTGAGAAACAAAGATGGGTTCTGATGGGTATGAATCGGGCTCTTGCCATACCCAGGTTTCTTTAGTCTTGACGTTCAGCTTGCAGAGCTGCTTGTGAGAAGGAACAATCAACCAGTTAACCCCTCGATGTGCTTTACTTGACCAGCGAGTGACTCAAACTACTTTTCTAGCATTAGGTAAGATGGAGCGGTTACCCTGTCCGGAACGAAGTGATTCAAGCCAAGTCCGTACGCGTACGTGTAAGGCTTCCCGCCATACCTCTGATAGTTGATTTGAGGAAACTCAAAGGCTACAAAATAGAGGACGTGCTTAGGAAAACCCAGTCAGTCTCTGGACGGGGAGGGACAGTTTTTTTTTTTTTTTAATAATAAATTTATTTTTTATTGGTGTTCAATTTGCCAACATACAGAATAACACCCAGTGCTCATCCCGTCAAGTGTCCCCCTCAGTGCCCGTCACCCATTCACCCCCACCCCCTGCCCTCCTCCCCTTCCACCACCGCTAGTTCGTTTCCCAGAGTCAGGAGTCTTCATGTTCTGTCTCCCGTTCTGATATTTCCCACCCATTTCTTCTCCCTTCCCCTCTATTCCCTTTCACTATCCCTCTCTTACATCAGCTCACCTTGACGAGGCCCTGAGAAGAGAACCTCAGGTTCCAGCCAGATGGTCTCGTCGCTGCACAGAGTTGCAGTGGCCGTCGTGTTGGGGAGGGTGACTAGGTTCTTGCCTGTGTCGGCCTAAGGAGAAAGGAGGACGGAAGGCTCAGTGAGAAGGAGAGGAAAGTCTCTCTGGGTGTTGTCTCCCGCGTCCGTGCCTTCTTACGTCCTTCCTACGAAAGCTATAGGAAGGCAAGCCCAGCAGCTAGCGCGGGAAAGCTGCCTGAGCCCGTCACCGGCTGTCCCGTAACCTCTAGGCCCTCACATGGGGACAACGAGATTGCCCTCAAGGAAATGTAGGGCTGGGATCCCTGGGTGGCGCAGCGGTTTGGCGCCTGCCCTTGGCCCAGGGCGCGATCCTGGAGACCCGGGATCGAATCCCACGTCGGGCTCCCGGTGCATGGAGCCTGCTTCTCCCTCTGCCTGTGTCTCTGCCTCTCTCTCTCTGTGACTATCATAAATAAATAAAAATCAAAAAAAATTTTAAAAAAATAACTCTTAAAAAAAAAGAAAAAAAGAGAAAATGTAGGGCTCTGAGGAGGGGCCTGTGTAGAACAACGGAAGACTTCAAGCTCTAGGCTTTCATTTACAGGGTTTATCTCCTTTAGAGTTCGGATCGATTCTGATCTTGCTTGAAAAAAATCACAGTTGTGTTGTCGAAAAGAAAAAAAATACATAGGAGAACTACTGAATCAGACGTTGCCGAAGGTCTCTTGTCACTCCCTTACCCTGCCTGGTGGTTTTCAGATGATTTATGAAAGGAATGGATACCACGGGCTCTTTCGAAGAGCACATTTGTTAACACCGGTATCAAATTCTTGAGTCGACGCTTTGTGCTAGACTCTATTTTAGACATTTGGGATAATTCAGAGAATAGAGGCCCCGTACTCGTGAAGCTTGCATTCTAGTCTGGGAGCATCAACAATAAATATCAATTAATAAGGTCTATGGGAAGAAAAAATACAGCAGAGTTAGGAGGACCAACGGTTTGAAGGGTAGGTGAGTCATAATTTTTGTAGGTGCTCAGGAGGAGGCGTGAAACCAAGACGGGACTCGAGGATGACTCCGAGGTGTTTGGCCTGAACAATGAAGGGTTGGAGCTGTTCCAACAAGATGGGGACGACTGCAGGTGGGCGTGATTCTTTTTTTTTTTTTTTGCAGAGGAAGAGGAGAAATTTAGATTTCGTCGCATTAAGCCTGAGAGGTCTGCTGGACACCCAGAGGGAGACACGGAGCTGGCAGGGCCATACGAGCCAACGTTGCAAGGCACGTTGAAAATGCAGACGTAGGCGGCTTTGAAGCGTGAGTGTTGACCCAGGGCGTGAATGTCCGGACAGAAGGTAGGACGGAGGGCCGAGCGCTGGCGCCCTCCCGCTCTGGGGGTGTGTAAGAGGAGTGCGGGTAGCTCGGGGGGCAGGAAGAGTCAGAGGAGGATTGTGTAAGAGGGCAAAGTAATAGGATGTGAAGGAGCCCACGGAAGGGAGGGGAGGTAGTGATAACGGGGAACGGGGAGCATTGCCCGCCTGGTGTCGGGGGGGGGGAGACTGGGAAGGACCAGTTCTGGGCGACGACAGATGATTCACGCCAAGTACAGATGCTGGGGGGGGGGGACTGGAGTCGGTGGCAGACGCCCGACGGGTTTAGGATTTCTTTCGGTTGTCTCCCTGGAGTGGGCAGCAGAGGATCGGCTGAGTACAGCGTGGAGGCGGGAGGTGTTGGAAGGTCGAGGCCAGGAGGCGTGAAGCTCTCAACTAGCAAAGTGGGAGCGTGATGAGGCCGGGAATGTGGCCGTGGGCCGGTGCTCACGGGCTCCGAGACGAGCCAGTGCACAGCCTGGGTTCAGCCCTTAACTGCACCCCGAGTGGCACAGGCGGACGGAGGCGGGAGCTGAGCCTAACAAGGGAGGGCCTGCGGGGCGGCAGGGGCGGCCAACGGCCAGGACGAGGCGGGGGACACGGGGACTAGGATCATAGCTGTTGACGATGCGACTTCAGTGAAATGGTGAGGAAAAGTAAGTCCTCAGGGGACTGGGGCATGTTGGGAAGGTCGCGGGGCCGGAGGGTTCTGGTGGGAGGCGCAGCAGGGCCAGTGATCTGGGGACGGGGGGACCCGAGGGTGCCCCGCGGGGAACGGAGCCGAGGGAAGAGCCACAGTCACGGGCCGTGTGGGTCAAGGGTCCGGGGGAGCAAGTGGCCGGTGCGGAATGGAGATGAGGTCAGGGGATGAGGTCAAGGCCCTGAGAGGCCGGGTTGTGGGAAGCGTCGCCCGGGATGGGTGGGCAGAGTGACCAGGACTCGGGGGGGGCGGTCGGGGGGGGCCGGGTGGTGGTTCAGGGACAGTGGTCACGCGGGCGAGCACACATGTGTGCCACGAGGCTGCATCCGAGGAGCGGATGGAGGGAAGGACAGACGGATGGAAGGATGGATGGAGGGAAGGACGGATGGATGGAAGGACGGACAGAGGGAAGGACGGATGGATGGAAGGACGGATGGAGGGAAGGATGGATGGATGGAAGGATGGAGGGAGGGAAGGATGGATGGAAGGAAGGACGGTTGGAGGAAAGGATGGAGGGAAGGACAGACAGAAGGATGGAGTGAGGGAAGGACAGATGGAGGGAAGGACAGACGGAAAGAAGGATGGATGGAGGGAAGGACGGTTGGAGGGAAGGACAGACAGAGGGAAGGAAGGATGGTTGGAGGGAAGGCCGGCCGGCCGCGGAGGCCCGGAGCAGGAGAGCGCAGAGGCAACCCCAGGTCAGCTGGCCCCAGGCTGGGCAAGCGGCCGGGAGCCCCCACGTCCTCGGGAGAGCTGGGGTTTGGTTCAAAGAAAAAAAAGGTGAAAAAATAAAATAAAGAATAAGCTAAAGCCTGGCGACAGGAACTTCTGAGAGGAGGACAGAGTGGAGCCTCCTGGGGGGGGACCGTGAATCCCGAGGGGGCAGCCGAGGATTCGCAGGACGGGGCCGGGCCAGGAGTGAGCGGGACGAAGGGGACACTGCGAGACTTGGTGACACGGGGCCGTGAGGTGCCCTGTGGCACTGGGAGGGGGGACGCATCACGTGCCCGTGTCACACGAGCCATTTACGCACGTGCGAGCTGAAGTTCCCCGTCTCACTTCATTCCCGTTCCCAGGTGGAGTTTCTGGGCAGGACACACGCGGAGTGGCCCTGGCTTCCCCTGCAGACCAGCCCCGCGTTGTCCCCTCCCGTGTCCCCTTCTCCAGCAGACACACTAGTGCCTCAGCCTGTCACCCCACCTTGAGGACCTCACCCTCTGGGCCCGGCCCGGGTGCCACGACACTCGTCCCGCGGGCCGGCCACGGGAGCACCTGCCGGCAAGGACCAGGGGCTACTGCGCGGGGCTGAGGACTGAGCAAGGCAGGCCCACGGCCGACCGGGCTCTGGGTGTGACAGCGGCCGGTGACAGCGACGCGACCCGTAGGTGGTGTCCTCCTGTTTGCACAGACACACCTGAGACGCAGGAGGGCCTGAGGGAGGGGGGGTGAATGGGGTTCACACAGCAGGGGGATGACACCTCGGGTCCCTGCCTTTCCCCGTCACTCTGGCTCTTGACCAGGTGAGGGCACGGCCGTCCGCGCAGAACGACACAAACCACGTCTGACAGGCGCCGCCGGGGTCCCAACTAGCAGCCAGGCCGCCCTGCGCCCTGTGCCCTCCAGCCCGTCCCCCTCCCGCCACCGCGGGCCGCCCCCCAGCCTGTGGACCCCCCGGCGCTGCTCACAGCCTGCCAGGCGCTCACCCTCGGCACCTGGAATCCCCACTTCGTCGCCCTCCTCCTCGGCCCTGGGCCCAGATCTGGCGGGGGCGGGGGGGTCAGTCCTAGTCCCCGTGCACCTGCTGGCGAGTGGCACCTGCCGCCTGCGGCTCGTCCCCTCTTAGCTCGGCGAGGCCTCTCTGCCCACCTCTCCCCCTCCGTCTGCCCCCCCTCGGGCCCCCTCTGCTCCCCCCGCCCCACACTGCTGGGGCTGCCCATCTTTTCTCCTCCCAGCGTGTCCGGGCGCTCGGCCTCCTCAGGAAGGGGCGGCTGCGCGGCCCTAACCGGCCCGGAGCCCTGTTCGCCCTGCGGCCCCCTCGGGCTCTGCTCGCCTTCTTGAGCCTCATCTCGGCGTCGCCCCTTCCGCGGGTGGGCCTCACGGGGCCTTCACCGCCGGGGCCCCCTGGTGACCCTGTTTTGACGCTGACTTTAAGGACTACCCTGTGTCCAGGGCTAGTGACTGACGTCTGTCACCTCCCGAGCGGCCGCAAAGAGAAGGAAGTTTAAGGAGGTTAATGTTTCTCTTAATGGATAAGAGGAAACTTAGGGTGAGATCACCCAGTTAGCACGGGGCGGAGCGGAACCCCAGGCCCGGCTCCGTCTGACTTGAAGTCAACCTCACGGGGACGCCGGGGGCTCAGGGCGTGACCCCAGGTCCCGGGATCGAGTCCCGCGTCGGGCTCCCTGCACGGAGCCTGCTTCTCCCTCTGCCTGTGCCTCTGCCTCTCTCTCTCTCTGTCTCTCATGAATAAATAAATAAAATCCTAAAAAATAAAAAGATCCACCCCTTCACCCTCACCGTCCCCGTCCTCACGGTCCTGCACTCGGCGCTGCTCTCCGCACGGCCCCACGGGGACCACCGGCACCTGCTGGGGCAGAGCCCCCGACGCCGGGAGGAGGCGAGCAGGGCCTCGGGGACACGAGACACCGAAGTGCTCCACGCGTCCCCGGGCGGGTCTTCCTCGGGCAGCGACCACTGCGCATTTACGAGCACCCGTCGTGCCTTCTTGCCGGACGCGGAGAGAGCGAGGTGACGGATATTCGAGTTAAATGATTTCATGTCCTTAATTTAAGGAGCGCTGTGACTTGACCGCCACGACTGGCCTCGCTGGACTCGACCGTCGGGCGTCATGTGGGCCTCAGCCGGTGGCGGCCGTGTACCCGGTGTCACCTCAGCCCTCCCCCTGCGCCTCAGCCGCCCTCATGCCGTCTATGCTGCTGCAGTGCCAGCCCCACCAACGACCCCGCCTTTCTCCATTAGGTCTTGCTCCTGTGACAGCTCCTGGGCCACCTGGAAGCTCATTTACTTACTTCCCTGGGCCGCCTGGAAGCTCATCTACCTGCTTCCCCTGGGCACCTGGAAGCTCATTTACCTGCTTCCCCGGGCCACCTGGAAGCTCATCTACCTGCTTCCCCGGGCCTCCTGGAAGCTCATTTACCTGCTTCCCCGGGCCACCTGGCAGCTCATCTACCTGCTTCCCCGGGCCTCCTGGAAGCTCATCTACCTGCTTCCCCGGGCCACCTGGCAGCTCATCTACCTGCTTCCCCGGGCCTCCTGGAAGCTCATTTACCTGCTTCCCCGGGCCACCTGGCAGCTCATCTACCTGCTTCCCCGGGCCTCCTGGAAGCTCATTTACCTGCTTCCCCGGCCGCCTGGAAGCTCATCTACCTGCTTCCCCAGGCACCACCTCCATGTCCCCCCCACTGCGACCCTGCAGAGACCTCACCAGCTTGCCTGGGAGCCCGGCGATCTCCCCCTAAATTGGGCTGCTTCTCCACCACCCCTGTGTAGCCTCGGGGACACTTACCCTCCGCGCACCTGCCTCACCCACCTTGTGTGTGCTGCACGCCCACGGATGGCAGGGAGCGCTCACGTATCTCTCGTGGGAATTACGTCTGCCTTGGTGGTGCCTGGCCTTCTGTCACTCTGAGACCTCTTGATGCTAATCCAAGAGTCTAGAGACACGGCCACCGCATACAGGGAGAGAAAGTAGGACTGGAAGGTGACGGCCGAAGGCCATTGAGGATGCGCGTCCTCTACTTCTAGAAGTTTTGTCAAAACCACAAATGGCCTGGTTTCCCTGCGGGGGTATTTTTAACGCTTCTTTCGTTTTTTGAATAATTTCAAGTTATTTAAATGAAATCCCGTGTATCACTGACAGAGGGTCCTAGGAAGCCGTGGCCTGCGCTACTCACTGCGGAAATACGCTTTGCAAGGACGTTGCAAATGAGAGAACCGCAGATTCACCATTAAAACCCGGGCTCCCGTTGTGGCGCAGCTGCAGCTGGCTCTGGCTAAGTCGCGTCGCTCTCCCAGCCCCAGGGTCCAGGGTCGTCGTTCAGGGAGGGGAGTTGAACGAGTGTGTTTTCAAGGTTCCTTCCGGCTCCGAGATGGCAAGGTCGTACGTATGCGCAGAAGGCAGGCGGGCGGGCCCCGGGGGAGCGGAGGCGCCCGATGGGTCTGGGACCCGTGGAGAGGCCCTTACCTTGTCGATATTCAGGGGAAGCACGTATCTCCTAACTTCAGGCTGCGGAGCCTTCCTGGCATTTTTTTTCACCTCTTCCCAGTTCTCACGTAAATTGGCTAAATACAGGTAATTGTAGACGAATTCAAATCTGCAAAAATAAAAAGCCAGACGTGAGCACAGACAATCGCAAATAATCTCGGGTGATCCATGTCTTTTAAAAGAACGGGTGCCTGCTTGCTCTGGGCTGTGTGTGTGTGTGTGTGTGGATTGATTTGCTTATTGTCCAGCGAGCAAGCGAGCGAGTGCAGGAGTGAGCCAAGGGGCGTGGGCAGCGGCGGAGGGACGGGAGGTCAGCGGCCTCGGCCCCGGCCCTGAGTGCAGGGCCCACGTCAGGCTGCACCCCGGGGCCCCGAGAGCAGAAGCTGGGCTGCAGCCAGGAGGCGGACCCCCACCCACTGCAGCACCCACGGCCCAGCCCGTCTGCTCTTTTTTTTTTAAGGGTTAACTTTATTTATTTATTTATTTATTTATTTATTTATTTATTTATTTATTTATTTATTTTAATGATAAGTCTATTTTTTATTGGCGTTCCATTTGCCAACATACAGAATAACACCCGGTGCTCATCCCGTCGAGTCTGCTCTTCACCCCCCAAGCCAGACTCGGCTCAGGACGCCTTTCCAAGCGGCTCGAGACCCTAGGCAAGCGAAGGACGCTGCCTCGCGGAGACGCTCAAGTGACAGCAGCCTTGGAGACCTCTGTCCTGTGTCTCCTTCATCCTTTCGTCTACGTCGCTAGGGGCCACCGGTGACTTGGTCTTCACGGGAAAGCAAGCGCGCCTCTTTCTCCCAAACCCAGAGTGAGCGGACGTCAAGCGCCCCAAGGGACCTTGTCTAGTTGCGGTGAAGTTAAGGTCACATTCGCTTATCAGGTCATACAGCACCTGATTTCCAGGTCGGGTTCACAGACCCGATCGATTTTCAATCATTAACCATGGTTTCCGCGTTCAGTGTGTGAGCGCTTCTGGTTACCTACCCTCCCGACTGCTCTTTCAATGATATTCTGCGACCGAAGCACACTTCCGGCTTTCTGGTTTTGTTTTTTGTTTTTTTTTAAAGATGTAATTCGGATTAAATATTGAGAGGAACATCTCCGAAAAAGGGGCCCTGATTCCTAGGCACGACCGGAGATGTGACGTTATCCAATGTCCTCTCTTACCCTTTCCAGCAGCAGAGATCCACAATCAGAAACTCATTGTCTTCGTAAGTATTGATATGATGGAAGAGATTAAAGGAAGAGGTCCTGTATTTATTATTGAGATACTTTTTTCTTTTTTTGTCAGCGATGTGAAGCCAAACCTTGAAAAGGGAGGAAAAACAAAAAAAGTGAGGAAAAGGTTTTGATGCATTTATAAGGGAACACAGTGCACACTATGAAACACCTTCTTCAGAATCGTAAACGTGACAGGTAAATGCCCGACTTACCCCCATGGTTTCATTGGACTCAAAACAATCCATGTAGTTGGCTCCCCAAAGACTCCACGAAGAAAGGAACTTGAGCAGGTTAATTTTGACTGGCGTCTCCACAAAAACAATATAGTTGGGAGTCAAACCAAAACTGTTTAGAGACACAAATAGACTTGTGAACGGGAGGGGCTGGTTGTCAGACCACAAAGAAATCTGTGCACGGTGGGTAGGAATCAACGGTGCCCACGTGAAATCAATTGCATTTAGATTTAGGTTTCTGCAAGAAAATGTCGTGATCGGGATTGGTATCAAAGGTAGGCAAAGCAGATCTCTAAACTTGAGTTTTCCTGAAGATTCACAGCGGGGCCTTCAAGTTACCTATGCACGTACGATGGCTTGAATCGGTCGCTGCAGGGGAATTGTACGACGACCTCGGACTTGCTTATTGGATCTTCCTTGTCTGAAATAAAGCGGTTTTAAAAGGCTTCGGAAAAGCCTCTTTTTTTTTTTTCCCTTCTCTTTTAATACAAAGCATTTAGAACAGCTTATGCAAGTAAAGAAATACATTTGCAGATCTCGGGGCTATTTGTTTTTTTAGGGCTTCTTTTCATTTTCTCCGTCATTGGCATTTCTTAGGGAAACTTCCCGGGAAGCTGTGGTCGCCCAGGAAAATCCAAACAGCAGCAGGTTTGGAAAAGTGTGGTCAAAACCGGGTCGTGACGGGCAGAGGACAGTGGGGTCGCATCTCACAGTTGGAAGTGGTAGGTGCTGCCGGTGAGTAAGGCAAGACATTAGTGCGGTCAAAATGCCTTTCGTGATCTCTCAGTTGCCTGTGAAGTATGCTGCACGTGGGTTTGTGTCCTCTGTTCCGTACAGTAATTCTTTTTTTAAAAAATATTTTATTTATTCATGAGAGACACAGAGAGACAGACATAAGCAGGCTCCATGCAGGGAGCCCGACTTGGGACTCGATCCCTGAATTTGGATCACGCCCTGAGCCCAAGGCGGACGCTCAACTGCTGAGCCACCCAGGCGTCCCGAGTAATTCTTAAGCACATTAAAGTTTGTTGACGACTACGTCAGTGGCCTTCCAACCTCAGCGTGCATCAGAATCACGTGAAGAGCTTCTTAAAACACTAACCGCAGGCCCACACCCAGAATTCCTCCTTTCGGCAACCACAGGTGGGGCTCTGGATTTCCAGCAGCTTCCCAAGTGATGCTGCTGCTGGTGCAGGGACTACACCTTGACAACCACGCTATGTAACACCAAACGGAGATCCACATCTCTGTGTATACATATATATATACACACACATATATATTTTCAAATAATTCTGTTATTATATATAATATATATTCAAATAATTCTGATATATATAATTATATATATACACACATAATTCTGTTATATAATATGTATTCAAATAATTCTTATATATAATTATATATACACACATAATTCTGTTATTATATATAATATATATTCATTCAAATAATTCTGATATATATATAATTATATATATACACACATAATTCTGCTATTATATATAATATTCATTCAAATAATTCTGATATATATATAATTATGTATATACACAAATAACTCTGTTATTATATATAATATGTATTCAAATAATTCTGATATATATAATTATACATACACAAATAATTCTGTTATTATATATAATATGTATTCAAATAATTCTGATATATATAATTATATATATACACACATAATTCTGTTATTATATATAATATATATTCAAATAATTCTGATATATATAATTATATATACACACATTCTGTTATTTTTTTATTTTTATTTTTTTAATTCTGTTATATATAATATATATTCATATAATTCTGATACATAATTATATATACACACATAATTCTGTTATTATATATAATATGTATTCAAATAATTTTGATATATATGATTATACACACACACACACAAATAATTCTGTTACCAAGATGGTTATCAAACCTTCCGGCAATGAATGGAGGATGAATGGGGCATTCTAAAGAGTTCTCTCCTTCCTAATATGAGTTCATAGATTTGTTTGTGTCTTTGGGAATCACACACACGCAAACCACTTAGCACCCTCTCATACCTGTGCGTGTGCTACTCTGCACACTGACACGTTTGTTTAGAAATGCACTTCTCCTGGCATACGGAGGAGTCAGGCCTCGATAGCTACTTCCTGAATTTGAGTCTGACCCTTGCACGAGCAAGTAGTCCTATGCAGTACGTCCTCGAAACGCTGTGGAATACGACTTGGCCCCTTGCTTTCTGCATTTTCAAGCTGTCACTTTGTGCTCGGGTGCTCCTGCGCTTTGGTCCCTGGTGGGCTGGGGCAGGGGCAATCTGAGAGGCATTTAACTGCGCGTGGATAGGGCCCTCCTGGCATTTCCAGGAACCCCCGCGTTTCCAGGAATTCTCTCACAGTATCGATACTCCATCTAAGACGAGTCAACTTGGTAAACTGACCTGCTTGGAGTGGAGGGATCTTTACAATATTGTAGGCAATCGAGAAATTTTTCCCAAAGCAATTACCAATGTTGTAAACAGTCCCATCATTTTCAATATGGGGGTGAGCGGTGGCTCCATTGACAGAGACGTAGTTGCAGAGATCAACCTGCGGGAGGAGAGGAGGTGTCATCCACGGAAGGAGGAAGACTCTGCTCCCCCTTCGTCCCCAGGTCTCACCGAACACGGCTTGCACCCTCACCCACAGAGCATTTTCCCTGTCCTTCCATCTTTCTGGTCTCTACCCTCGTTCAAGGCTGCCTGAATTCCTATTTTCGGTGCAGAGCTCCCTCTGACCCTCGTGCTGAAGCCCCGCACCTCGGAAATCGTGGAGATCGTCCTACACAGCTCTGCTTACTTTCCTTCTGCACATGTGGGTTGTCCTCAAACTGATCATTTGAATCCTCGGATTTCTTTCCATCCCCCTTACTGTACTAGATGAGTTGTGTGAAGTTGCTGAGATGCACAATAATTCTTATTTTTACAAAAATGGCAATTTTGTAGAGTAGTCCCTAGACACCAAATCCAGCGGCTTGCACAGAGTAGAAGTCTGGAACCGAAAGAAACCCCAGGATTCGATTTAGTATAGAGTCAACCTAAATACACTTCAGGAGAACCATGAATCTCCTGGAATTAACACGCAAATGTTTGTGGAGAGAAGATTTAGCGCTTTAATTCAGTTTGGAGTCTCATAAGAAATTCAGAATCACAAATCTAGCGTAAATCTGTTTACAGAAAGAGAAGTTGAGGTCCGAGAGAGGTCACGTGACTTCTTCAAGGATACAGAGAGCCACACGCTGCCAACATCAGCGCAAGAATCTCTCCTGTGACCCGCTCAGTACAGATTTATTGAATGAATAATTGATGAGGTGTGTATTTATTTAAACAAAATTCTTTCTATGTTATAGGGAGAGTATGTTTTAAAGGGAAGTTTTTAGCATTCTTAAGCAATAGGCAAGACATTCATTCATTCATTCATTCATTCATCATTCCAGTGCTCTTTGAGTTTCTGTTATCGCTGTGCTAGGGTCTAGGAGAAGAGGGACGGCCTTCGCTTTCGAGAACTGCAGTCTATGGGGATCCCTGGGTGGCTCAGTGGTTAAGCATCTGCCTTTGGCTCAGGGTGTAGTCCTGGAGTCCCAGGATCCAGTCCCACGTCGGGCTCCCTGCAGGGAGCCTGCTTCTCCCTCTGCCTGGGTCTCTGCCTCTCTCTGTGTGTCTCTCATGAATAAATAAATAAAATCTTAAAAAAAAAAAAAACAACAAAACCCTGCAGCCTGGACTGGTGCTGTCCAGTGTGGTAGCCATACGTAGTCTGAGGTGGATTGGCTATGATTAGACAACACCTTAAATTCAGTTCCTCCGTCACATTAGCCACTTTCCAAGTCCTCAGTGGTAGAAAGTTCTATCTGAGAGCACTGTTAGGCCAGTAAGCTGGTGTATAAGATGCTGCATTGCCGGCAAAGGCAAAGGGCGTCTGTAGAGAAGGGTCCTCTAACCCACACTGGGAGATTAGGCCGGGCTCTCAAGGGCAGTGCCCAATGGATGCGTGGGAGACGAGCAGAGATTAGCCAGGTGGAGAGGATGGCAGGTGTTCCAGGAGCGGGATCCCTAATGCACAAGCATTGAATTGTGAAGTAGCAGGTGCTGGTTGGAGATGACTAGTCAGTGAACGTGGCTGCTGTGAAAAGTGTGGCGGAGGAGAGAAGCAAGGACCCTCCAGCCAGCAGAGCCCGGTGTGGACTTTACCTTGGGAACCGTGGGAGCCTCGGGTAGAGTAACACATTCACACTCATCTTTTAGAAAAGTTGCTTCTCCCGAATCAGAGAAGTTGTGTTTAAGAGAATCAGGCTGGGGGCAAAGGCACTGATTAGGAGCCTATTTTAGTAATGGTAATCTTAAAAAATCTCAAAAAAAGAGTCTCAAATTTTCACGAGCGTATTTTTATGTGACGTCAAGGCGCGGTGATGCTCACGATGCAACTTGGCCCCCGAATAAAGGCTATTTTGGAGCTGTGCCTGAGCCTTACAGGTGCAGTCATATGACCATAGCAATGTGAGGACAGACTCACTTATCAGAGTTGAATGAGTGGTTTGGGATTCAGCTTCAGGTCTTCTCCACGTGAGCTCACGTATACGCTTATATGGTCACAAACGCACATTAAAAACAAGAAAGAGCTATTGAGAGGATATGTTAGGCCTTAATAAATAGTCTGCTGAGAATTACAGATTAGTGACCCTGAGACCCAGGGTTGGGACTATTTTCCTTTCTGTTTCTACTACACTGAATTTCTAGTTCTGGCCTTAAATTCCACCTCACCTGTCTCCTCCTATCCCTTATCTCCTTCGTCCTCCCCTACGGCTTATGCTTGGCTTCCGGATCAAATATCCTAAGGCAGAGCTCTGCTTATACCATTTCTCCGAGTAAAAACTTTCAGTAGCTTCCCATGAGCTAAACAGCTTCCCAATTTTTGACCTATCCGTGTTGTCTTACCTATTGATGTTTCCTTTGCCTTTAGTAGAAGTTCTGATACATGGAAGGGACTCCACAAATATTTGTGTCACAAATAAATGAATGAACATGTTAGGCATCTTATAAGGTCTTCTTCTAACCCATATAATATTATATTATATTAAAGTTTTTGTAATTAAACTAAAGTTTTTGTAATTTATATCTTTTTCATCAAATGATTATTACTTTATATGAGATTATGTATTATTTCTGTTATGTAATGAACACTTGAGTATTTTTTTCTGTTACTATCTCTTTATTGCAGCATCATTCTAAAAATATTATTAATATACATTAATATATAATATATCAATAATATAATGTATCAATATATTAATATAATATAATATTAAATAAATATTAAAAATTTTGTAGATAAAGAGTGCCTCGTGTCACATGGCTAGTAGTTGATGACAAAGCAAGGCAGCGAGACAATCTGTCTGGCCCTCATGTGCTTTCCCCAAAACTGCAGTTAAATCTAAACTGCAAATTCTAAATTCTTGAGCAACGTCACCTGAGCATTTCGTCCTACCTGCTTAATTGTCTCCAGGGTCTCAGGATTAATCTTTGTAATGAAGTTGGTCTCCGTGCAGGCGTAGTAATCTTCCCCTACTGGGTAGACGTTAACAAGGGCATTGTCAGTGACCTCCACTCCTCGGAAGTAAGAAAAAAACCTACAGAAGCAAACGGAGTTTTTCAGTCCAGTAACCTTCAAGCTGTGAAGGAAAAGGGCTAATGTAACATGTCTTTAATAACATGCAGCCAAGTTTCAGTAACCTGGAAAATATATTCTTGCAGGGATCTGGGAACGCACAGGTGCCAAATTCCGTTATGACGATCCTTTTCTCGGTCATTGCCCGGACGTAAGCATCGGTGCGGATGAACCTGAAGGACACGGAGACATGGGAAAGGGTCATGGGCAGGGGCAACCCGTGTGGCCCACACGGAGCCGAGAATGGTCCTCCTGTGTGTCCTCACGACGTCGGGATCCTGAATGACACCAGGCAGAATGAAGGGTGTGGTCTGGCCACTTTCCCAGGGTGACTAAGAGAGAAGGAGGCCGTGAGCTATGAGCTTATATTTATGAAGACATAAATTATAAGATAAATTATAAGATAAACCTCGCAGTGGCAGATGAGGACCTGGAGGCTCCTGGCTTGGACTTGCCGTGTCCGAGCGGAGAAGTCAAGTGATGGGCACATGGGAGGGAGCTGGGTTAGAGCTTCTCCGCCTCGCACCATGCAGCCTCCACGGTGGGTCACACACGGCCTCCGTGGACCCTTCCTGCGGCCTCTAACCCGTCAACCTCACACGGAAGCGAGAGATACGAAAGCTGGTGTGCCGAATTATAGTCCTTTCAACCTCCTTTATGTCACTCCTGCTTTTTTCCTCATTTTGAAAGTTTAATTTTGCTAGTTTTGTCTTTTTATTTTTTTTTAATATTTTATTTACTTATTTGACAAGTGGGCAGAGTGGTAGGCAGGGGGCGGGGTGGGGGGGACGCAGTCTCCCTGCTGAGCAGGGCTCTATCCTTAGGACCCTGGGGTCATGACCTGAGCCGGAGGCAGATGCTGAACTGACCAAGTAACACGGGTGCCCCTAACTTGGCTAGTTTAACATTAATTATGTAATGCAAAATAATGATTTAGGAATTTTGAAATATTTGGGAGCAGTCCCTAAAGTTTTTGTAATTTATATCTTTTTCATCAAATGATTATTACTTTATATGAGATTATGTATTATTTCTACTATGTAATGAACACTTGAGTATTTTTTTCTGTTACTGTCTCTTTATTGCAGCATCATTTTTAAAAATCCTCGTCATTTTAACAACTGTTTGTTCTGTAATGTACTATTTTCAGTTCCTCATTTTGATAATTTGTGACATTTCTCTTTTCTGATTGATCTTGCTTGTAGTTTTTCAGTTTTATTTTTAAAGAACCAGTTTTCAAAAAATAAAAATTAAAAATAAAGAAAAAAAAATAAAGGCAGGTATTCTCGACTCCGGTATCTTGCCCCGTCAGAACTCCTCAACCTTATCCCATATGTCGCCTAGGATTTCTCAGGTGGGAAGCCAGTTAAAATCTGATTTTGCACTTCCTCAATCCATATAATGAGGTTTAAAATTTCACAGATGAAGAAACAAAAGTCACGAAAGGGAAAAAGTGCCAAGGTGTTTGGGGAACATGCGAAAGCTTTGTCTGACTTCTTTTTTTTTTTTAAAAAAGATTTATTTACTTATTTATTTATGATAGACAGACAGAGAGAGAGAGAGAGAGAGAGAGAGAGGCAGAGACACAGGCAAAGGGAGAAGCAGGCTCCGTGCCGGGAGCCCGACGTGGGACTCGATCCCGAGACCCCGGGGTCACGCCCTGGGCCAAAGGCGGCGCTAAACAGCTGAGCCACCGAGGGATCCCCTTTGTCTGACGTCTTGGCTAAATTTTTGCTTGACCGGATCTATGTCTCTTGTGTTACAGTCTGAGTTATCCTGACGGCTTCAGGCCTCCACCCGCTCTCCCTTTGGGTGTCTCCTTGGAGTTCCTAACCCCTGCGGTGATCAACAAAGCATCACCCAGGTCTGAATGTTAAAGCATAAGACAAACTATTCGTGGTGGTGGTAATGGGCCCTCGGAGCGATGGCCTGGGCCTTGGAGCCTTTTAGCAACAACCTTCTGTACTTAGAGAACTTCTCTTTCTTGTTCATTATGACATAATTGGGTCCTTTCCCCTTTGTGGCACTCCTCCCTCCTTCCCAGGGGCCTTTCGGATTATTAAAAAAAAGGAAACGAAGAAAGAAAGAAAGAAAGAAAGAAAGAAAGAAAGAAAGAAAGAAAGAAGAAAGAAAGAAAAGAAAGAAAGAAAAGAAAAGAGTCAAGAAAACCAATGGTCTAATAATTATAATAGTAACTATAATAATAAGAACTTATTATTACTAATGCTTCCCAGGTACCTCATTTAATCCTCGTAATGAACCATAAAGTAGAATTTTATAGATGACAATGGGACGCCCGGGGGGCTCAGCGGTTGAGCATCTACCTTCGGCCCAGGGCATGACCCTGGGGACCCGGGATCGAGTCCCACGTCGGGCTCCCTGCGTGGAGCCTGCTTCTCCCTCTGCCTGGGTCTCTGCCTCTCTCTCTGTGTCTCTCATGAATAAATTAATAAATAAATCTTAAAAAAAAGAATTTTATAGGTGATAAAAGCGAGAATTAGAGAGTAGCATCTTGGCGAAGTTTGCCCATCTAGGCAAGTGGTGTCTGGTAGGTACAGACTTTGAGGCCGGGCGTGTTGGAGCCGAAGGCCCTATTCTTAGTTTCACCTGTGCGGTGGCGCAGCTCCCAGGGACCTGGGACCATGGACTGGGCCGGTGGGTTCTGGCAGGAAGCGAATCCTAAGTCAGCTTTTGGGGTCGAGGAGTTGAGAAGGGCGTGGAAGGAGGAGCTGAGCCAGGTCCCAGCCCGGGAGGAGGAGGAGCTGGGACTCTTTACCTTCTGTGATAGGTGACGTGTCCTTCTTTAAAGTCGAACTTGTGCAGAAGGGCTTGTCCGTCAAACAGGTGGTAAAATGGTTCAGATCCAACCTCGAAGAGCCCCGGTCCGCATCGGAGGAGACTGCCCGTGAGCCAGAGTGGGATCCTGCCTGCGATCAAGGGGACACCTGGAGCGTCGCCGCTCGGCCGGCCCGTCGCTGGGCTGGGCGCTGCTCGGGGGCAGCGGTGGCGGCGGCCGCTCAGCCCCGCGCCTCGGTGGGGCCGGCGATGGCTCTCGTTGGTGGCCTCGCGCCGCCCGCCCTCACTGGGTGCCCGCGGACATGACCCCCCTCGCTGGGAGACCACGCGGTGGGGGGCACCCCGGGGTGCCTGACCCTGGGCACGAGGTTGGAAGGAGCTGAGGAAAAGCATCGTGGGGCAAACGGGTTCCTGCTCCTACCAGATTGTCCCCGATGCCAACACGTTTGCCTTTTTTGCCATCTGGCTTTTAAGAAGAATCGCAAATCCCCTGATGGAGTTGGATGGGGCGAGGGGCGGGAAGGGTGCACTGGGAGCAGGGACCAGGTGCTCAGGGGAAGATGCTCCTGTAGCAGAAAGCACTGGAATGAGACGAGAGGAGTGCCGGCCTCCTCGCACCGAGCTCCGTTCCTCGGTCCTCGAGGGGGCGGCTCCCGCCGGGCGAGGGCCCACCCGCTGCAGCAGGCCCGCCGGGCTGGTGCCAGGGACCCGCTCTGCCCGGGACGTGCGTGTGCGGCTCTGGGGCTCGGCGCACGGGGCCGTGGACGGGCGGGCGCCCGCACGAAGGTCGGCCCAAGCGGTGAGGTTCGTGCCCTCCGAGCCTCCGAAGGGCGCCGTGTTTGCTTAGTCCTCACCAATTTTTTTTTTTTAAACACATGATCACTCCCTGCAGTTCGGGTTCGGCGGCGGCTCCATAGGAACCTCTAGGTCGGGTGAGACCTGGAGAAGGTGAGGCCGAGCCCACGGCACATCGCTGGCCTGCGGGCCCGCTGTCCCCGTCCCGTGGGCCGACAGGGAGCACTGGCCCCCCCTTTACTTTAGGGGGAGGGCCCCGGGGGGAAGGGACCTGCCGAGGCCACGCCGCGTGTGCCGGGCGGGTCACGGGGTCCTTGGTGATGCGAGTGTGGCCGGCGCTTGCTGACTGCCGAGCCGCCCCAGGTGAAGCCCGGGTCATCCTATGCGACCTGCACGACATCCCCACGAGGTGAGGGAACTGAAGGTCGGGCCGTCAAGTCCCGTGCGGGGTTCCCACGAGCGGGATGCTGCAGCTGCCGTGAGCCCTGCCCCGCGTGGCTGGGGGGGCCCTCAGGCGGCGCGGCCTGCACCCGGTACCCTGACCTCCCCGGACACGTGTCCTGGGTGCCCGCTTGTCCCGACCCCGATGGACAGATGCTCCCAGGATGTGTCCCTGTGCCAGGCCCGCGTCAGGCACCGGGCTTGAACCCGGGCATCGCGGCCACACAGCGTGTGTCTACACTAGGGAGGCAAAGCGAATGGCGGGAGCTGGGTTCCTGGCACAGCCGCCCTCCGTGTAGCCCCCCGGGATGGAGCCCCCCGCCCGCAGGTGCCGGGGCCCAGGAGCCACAGGGAGGGGCCTCCCCCCAAAGGCGCAGGTGGCTCCGGCCGGGTGAGACCCACCTGTCACATGGGCGGTGAGCGGCGACGACAGCTCTTCCACGGTTTCAAACAGCTTCTTGTAACCGCCGGCGGGATGCTCCACTCTGAGAAGGTGGCGAGGGCGGGGAGAAGCCCACGTCGGCCCCCAGGACGCCGCTGGGCACCGGCCGGGCTGGGGGGCCTGGGGCAGCCTCGGGCTGGGTGCTGGTGCGGGGCCAGCAGCTGCGGCTGCGGGGCAGGGCCATCCTGGGCGCTGTGCCCACGTCGGGGATGCAGCCTCCCCTCAGCCTTTGCTGTGGCCTGTGTCCCCAGGACAAGCCACATCCCCAGGACCAGCCGCGTCCCCAGGACAAGCCACGTCCCTGGGACCAGCTGCATCCCCACTGCTGAGGCGGCCAAGCCGGGCCCTCGGCCCCACTCCCCCCGCAGCTGGTGCCCTGCTCCCCACCTTTGCTCGGCTCTTCCCCAGCGGCGGGGGCCACGGTACAGTCTTCACAAACACTCTGACTGGGGTACCCGGGGTCCCGCCTTTGTCCCCTGCCTCGTCACTCTGGGCCCACTTTGTGACTGGGAGGGGACCCTGCGCAGACTCCTCCACCCGGGTGCCACAGCGCACAAGGGGCAGGCGGGCCCCTATGCTCACTTCCCCCCCCCGCCCCCCCGGGGCTTAGTTCCCCGGCCTCTGCCGCTGCCGAGGCCCGTTGACAAAAATCCCGTGGCAACGTCGCCCCCAGTTCTGGGTATTTGCTTCAATACATGAACAGGAGGAGAGTGTCCCCTCCGAGGCCCGAGGCCCTGAGCAGGCCGTCGCCCCCCCGGGGCCCCCCGAAGCCCCGGGCATACTCACTGGATGGACATGGTCTCCCAGGGCAGGACGGACGGTCGAGGCGGCACTAGCGGACGGAGGCAGCGAGGCCTGACAGCGGCCTTTATGCGCCCCGGGCCCCCGCCCCCCGACGGCAGCTCGGCCTCCCCGCCCCGACCCAGGCGGGAACAGGAGCGGCTTTCAGCCCGGGCTGTGCCGTTCCCGTGGCAGCCCCTTGGCTGTCCTCCAGAGACCTCAATCCCTCCCGAGGAGACGGCGGGTGGGCTGGGGAGAAGGAGGCTGCGGGCCCCGTCCACCGGCTCATGCGGCCTTGCACGCCCACTCCATCCCCCGGAGGTGGGCACTGCACTAGCATCGTGGGGGTGTGACTCTGCAAGGACCACAGGAGGCCAGCGACTGTTCAGCCGCGTTCCCAGAGACCTGAGGTCGGGACGGTGTGCAGGTCGGGGTCACACCTGCACCTGCACCTGCTCCGGGCGCCCCACCGGCTGCATGTCCCTCGGACGCGCCCTTTGCACACCCTGCCGGCACCTACCTGCCCGCTCTGCCCTCGGCGTCCGGCCAGCCGGTGTGTGTGCTGCGCGCAGCCTAGAGGGCACCCCACCTTGGCGGTCGCTGACCCCCGGAGCTTTGCCGGCACAGCCGGGGTGCGGCCCGAGCCCCTGGACCAGACGCGGTGCCCACTGCCCCAGCTGACGACCTTGGGGTTTCCTGGGACGCTCACCATCCACCTCGGACGTAAGAGGCGGCTAGGACGGGCCACCCCAAGGCTCCTCGACAGAACCACTGACCCGAGTGCCCCCAAGTTAGAAAACAGGAGCTACTTTCCCAGCCCGCCTTTTTCTTTTTTCTTTTTTTCATTTTTTTTAATTAGAGTTCAATTTGCCAACATACAGCATCTCACCCAGTGCTCATCCTGCCAAGTGCCCCCCTCGGTGCCCGTCACCCAGTCACCCCCTCCCCCTGCCCACCTCCCCTTCCATGGCCCCTTGTTCATGTCCCAGAGTTAGGGGTCTCTCATGTGCCGTCTCCCTGTTTGATATTTCCACTCATTTTTTCTCCTTTCCCCTTTATTCCCTTTCACTATTATTTATATTCCCCAAATGAATGAGACCATATAATGTGTGTCCTCCTCCGATTATTTCACGCAGCATGACCCCCTCCAGGTCCCTCCACGTCGAAGCACATGGTGGGTATTTGTCGCTTCTAATGGCTGAGGAACATCCCAGGGTATACGCGGACCACAGCGTCTCACCCATCATCCCTGACGGGCACCGAGGCTCCCCCCACAGTTGGGCCCGGCCTGCCTTCCAGGGAGGGCACGGCCCCGCGACCTGCCAGCGGAAGGGGCAGAGGCTCCAGAGGGGGCACCCCGTGCACGGCACCGGCCAGCTCTCCGCGCCCCAAGGCCCATGGTGTCCCCGTGGAGCCATCCCGCAGCGGAGCTGGGCATTAGCACTGCCTGGTACCTCCACGCCCCGCCTTTAGCCACCTCAGGGATTCCCCCAGCGACCTCACATTTCAACTACCCGCGGGCCGTCTGCCTGACTGGAATCGGTTCATGGTTTACGGCCAGGAGCTCTGCGCGTGTCGACGGACGGCAGCACGGGCCAGTGGGGAGTCACGGAGGATGAGCATCATATCGGCATCTGGATGCGGCGGGAGCCGTCTGGGGAGGTCTCTAAGCTAGGAAGGCGGCCAGGGGACGGGCAGGGCGGGAGTGTGCAGGCACAGCTGGCCATGCTTGCCACGGTCGAGGCGCGACTACGATAGGATGGATGGAGTGGGCTGGGTGTGTGGATGGACTGGAGACGGCCAGAGAGGAGCCAGATTTGAGAGGACCCCGGGCCAGGTTCCGCAGAGCTCTGTGAACCATGTGGAGGCGCCGAGGCCCGAGCCGTGAGAACGGAGGGAGCCGCGGGAAGGTGTCAGGCGGGGGGCGATCCCATCGGACGGGCGTTTAGTTAGGGCCGCTTGGGTCGCACCGTGCAACCCGCTGGAACTGGAGATTGGAGGAAACCCGACAAGTGGAGGTAACCGATGCGGGGATGCATCGGGGTTGGCGCGGAGTGCTCGGATTCAAGAGGAATTTCTGGAAAGGACCGACCACACTTTGTGATTGGTCAGCGCCTCGAGGCAAAGAAGGCAGAGAAAGGACGGCCGCTTGGGTTGTGGACGGAGCTACGGCCCCCGCCTGGCCAGTGCCCACGACGGTACCGACACCCCTCTCAGGTACTGCCAGGGCCCGTTGCTTAATAGCAGGAATTCATTTTGGTGACCTCGGCATTTCATTTTGCATCGGTGGCAGCTTTCAGTCTTCAGCCTCTCTCCATCCTGGAAGCCAGCGCTCGGAGGGGCCTTTTAAAAATACAACTCCTGGGCCGCCCGGGGGGCTCGGCGGTTGAGCGCCGCCTTCAGCCCAGGTGTGATCCTGGAGACCCGGGATCGAGTCCCACGTCGGGCTCCCTGCATGGAGCCTGCTTCTCCCTCTGCCTGTGTCTCTGCCTCTCTCTCTGTGTCTATGGATAAATAAATAAAATATTTAAAAAATCATTAAAAATTAAAAAAAAATAAAAATACAACTCCTAGCAACCCCTTCCTGGCAGACTTACAGGCTCATGGGGCGTGCGAGTCATCAAGTTAGCGAACGTGACTGAAGTCAGAATGAAAGCTAATTACTGTGCGCTGAACCGCAGGGAGCCCCGAGCTCTTCAGGTATAAAACAAGGAAAGTATGCAAAAGCCTGTTTTCAGCCCCAAGTATTCTCTGTGCAGATATTCAGCGACCTTACCAGCGCTCATTCCTAGGGAGTTTGACTTCATGTCCAGCCTCGCAGCCAGCACCCCTGACCTCAGGGCCAGCCTACTTCTCCGTATTCTCCTCGGTGTGAAGTCAGAGAACAGCCGCGCAGGATCCTCCCCAAAGCGTGGTCTTGACCCCCTGACCTCCCGAGCCCCAACCGCAGACGGCTTCCTCAAGTCCGTATCCTCCGATCATCCGCTGTTACACACTCCATCGCCTACCTGGCACCACGTTTTCTTTCATCCCCTCCTCTTGTTCTCTACCTTAATTTTTTACTGGCCAGAAAAAATCAGATCTTCACGTTCAATTCATGTGTCTGCCAAACGAACTTTCGTTCTTTAAAAATTTAAATTTTAGTTAACACACAGCACAACACTGGCTTCTGGAGTAGAATTCAGTGACTCATGACTCACATACAGCACCCAGCGCTCGTCTCAACAAGTGCCCCCCTCATGCCTACGATCCGTCTAGCCCCTCCCCCTGCCCCTTCATCAACCCTCAATTTGTTCTCTATTGTTAAGAGTCTCTTATGGTTTCTTTCCCTCTCTCCTTCCTCCTCCTTCCCATATATTCATCTGTTTTCTTTCTTAAAGTCCACATATGAGTGAGATCACGTGGTATTTGTCTTTTTCTGACTGAATTATTATTTTTAAAGGTGTCATTTATTTATTCCTGAGACGCACAGAGAGAGGCAGAGACACAGGCAGAGGGAGAAGCAGGGTCCCTGTGGGGAACCTGACGCGGGACTCGATCCCAGGACCCCGGGGTCACGTCCTGGGCTGAAGGCAGATGCTCCACCGTGGAGCCCCCCAGGGCCCCTTTCACTGAATTACTTCACTTACCATAATACGGTCTGGCTCCGCCCGAGAGTCATTGCAAATGACAAGATTCCGTTTTTTGATGGCTGAGTGATAGTCCTTGGAAACCGTTTCATTTTGATATATTTTGTTACATTTGCCAAAATGGTATTCCGTGAAACGAAGCAGCAAAGCACCTTTCTTCAAGCAGAAGTTTCTTAGGAGCAACTGCTGCCACATTTCTTCGAAGAAACCATTTTTCGAGAGTGAAGCGCTACAGGGTCCTTTTCTTTCATCCTGGTGTGAGGCGGGCCCTGCCGAGCTCAGAAGTCACAGTGAGGAGCTTGGATTAGACTCTTCTGAGGGCAACAGGAGGACATGAGGGGATGCCTGAGGCGACCTGACTTGCATCAGTCGCCCTGGTGTTGGCAGAACAGACCGGACGGGTGCAGGTGGAAGCAGAGGACGCTGTGGTGGCTCCGGCGGGGCGGGGCTGGGTATCAGTCTAGGTTGGAGCAACGCAGGCGGGAAAAGTGGGTACACGCGAGGTCTGCTTTGGAGTAGAAGTACGGGATTTTGTGTTACGCAATTGATATGCCTGGGATATAAGAAATTGGGGTCATGGGGCCTATCATCTGCCTACTGTAGCCCAAAACTCAAGCATCAGACCTCACTGTCCTGTAACAGCAAGTGCCTGGGGTGGCAGGTGACACGGGCTTGCTGAGATTGGCTGCGCTTGCTCCTGCGACTGGCCGTGCCTGGCTGTCGGCTGCCCTCTGGGTCTCAGCTGGGGTGGTTGGCTTCACCCCACGTTTGTCGGGCAGGGTAACGGGGCACATTCTCCTGCCCACGGCAGAGGTGAAAGCGAGCGAGGTAACACTGTCACTCCCGCCGCCTTCTGTTACCCAGAACCAGTCAAGGGCCCAGCCGTACCTCGAGGGGCGTGACAATAGCCTCTGCCTTTAGGGAGGACCGCGGTGTCGCACAGCGAGGCCGCGGGGCCCGGGAGGCGTGAAGAATCGGGGCTGCTTTCGTGATCAGGGGCACAGGGAACCAAGTGGGAGTTTCAGCCACTGAGCGAGGGTCCTACTGATCAGGGCTAGCGGGGTGGGGCGGGTGGAAACGGGCATATCAAGGTTCCTGGGGCTCCTGGGGCTCAGCCGCTCGAGGTCCGCCTTCAGCTCGGGTCATGATCTCCGCGTTCTGGGACCGAGCCCCCGTGTCCGGTGCTCTGCTCAGCGAGGAGCCTGCTTCTCCCTGTCACTCTCCCTTTTTCTCTCAAATAATAAAATCTTTTTTTTTTTTAAAGAGCTCGTGATTACGTTTGAGACGCTGTAAGGTCTCCATCTCCTCCCCGGGACTTCGTCGCCCGTTCCTCTGCCTCCTGGCGGCCTCTGATGCCCTGAAGTCAGGTCCCTAAAGGAGCTTGCCCT